GGGCCAAAAGAAATCTGATGAGGTTCAACAAGGACAAGTGCAGAGTCCTGCACTTAGGACGGAAGAATCCCATGCACTGCTACAGACTAGGGACTGAGTGGCCAGGCAGCAGTTCTGCAGAAAAGGACCTAGGAGTTACAGTGGACAAGAAGCTGTATATGAGTCAACAGTGTGCCCTTGTTGCCAGGAAGGCTAACAGCATTTCGGTCTGTATAAGTAGGAGCATTGCCAGCAGATCAAGGGACATTATCATTCCCCTCTATTCGGCATTGGTGAGGCCTCATCTGGAGTACTGTGTCCAGTTTTGGGCCCCACACTACAAGAAGGATGTGGAAAAATTGGAAAGAGTCCAGCGGAGGGCAACAAAAACGATTAGGGGGCTGGAGCACATGACTTACGAGGAGAGGCTGAGGGAACTGGGATTATTTAGTCTGCAGAAGAGAAGAATGAGGGGGGATTTGATAGCTGCTTTCAACTACCTGAAATGGGGTTCCAAAGAGGATGGATCTAGATCGTTCTCAGTGGTAGCAGATGACAGAACAAGGAGTAATGGTCTCAAGTTGCAGCGAGGGAGGTTTAGGTTGGATATTAGTGAAAAACTTTTTCACTCAGAGGGTGGTGAAGCACTGGAATGGGAGGTGTGGAATCTCCTTCCTTAGAGGTTTTTAAGGTCAAGCTTGACAAAGCCGTGGCTGGGATGATTTAGTTGGTGATTGGTCCTGTTTTGAGCAGGGGTATTGATATTCTATGAGTCTATATGGTGGCCTTCCTCTGCAGTTTATGATGGATTATTTCCTGGGTCTGTCTAAACTGTACTTCATTTGATGGGAACATTTTTACTTCTATCTCTAGCAATGCCGAAAGGTTTCTTATACCTCTTAAGTGCTGTGGTGAACTAATTTCCATGTAACTTTTTCGGCTTGTTTTCTCTTGTTTTAGGTTGTGATAAACAATGCAGCTGGAAACTTCGTTTCTCCTACTGAACGTCTTTCTGCTAATGCGTGGAAAACAATAGTTGATATTGTTCTTAATGGTACTGCCTTCGTAACTCTAGAAATTGGAAAGGAACTAATTAAAGTACAAAAAGGTAAGTTATACTTAAAGTTAAACAATGCCCAAGGATTGTAACATCTCATTACCATTTACTGTCCTTGCTTTAACACTTGTGTACAATAGCAAGTTTTGATGCTTTAAATAAACATTTTGATAAATGAGTTTTAATGCTGTACAGGTTTGCAAGAAGAAACTTTTGTATAGTGCAAACATCTATACAACACAGAACTACCTTGCAGAATCCGTAATTTTATTTTAGGACCTGATCCTGCAATCAGATCCAAAGTGAATGATGCTGCCTACATAAATCTGATTGCAGGTTTTGGACCTTATCTGTAAATTATTAAAAACAAGACTTTTCTTTAAATTACAAATAGTGCTATTACTTGTCTCCTCTGTCCTTTCTCCATTTTCCTTTAACTAAGCAATGAACTATGTGGCATTCTTTTAACTGGATTCAGTTAGGTTAAAAATCATGGTAGGTTATTCCTCCCCCCCGCGCCCCAAAATACCATTAGTGTTACTATCAGCACCTTAGATTTATTTAGAGTAAAAGAACTGCAAACATCTAACTTGCTTTTCACTACATTTGAAGACTTTCTGCATTTCCCTCTACTTCACCAATAAAAGTAGATGTGTTGGTTTCAGTCTTCTTTCCAGTCAGTTTCCAGTCATTTTTCAAGTTCCAGGCTGTGATGTTTTGGCTAGTAGTGGTGCAAGTTCCTGGGTATGGTTTTCCATATGGTCCCATTTTTATTATCACTTTTCCAGGTGTATTAAGGCACAAGGGCACACATTGAGTCATATTTAGATTTAGAAAGATTAGCTTTTTATAGGTAAATGTTGGAAAACGTCAATTTCACTGTACGCACACAAACCAACAAAAAGTATTTCCATCAATGATGATAGAAATTTACATATAAGCAAAATAAGAAAAATGCTGATTGAGAATTTGTTTCATTTAATTACATTTACTTTGTATATTTTGACATGTGACGTTGACAATTTGTGTTTTAAGAGTTATATGAAGCTTTAACTTTTTGAATTTCATTATCTACTGTCACTAAAAATTGTCTGACCACACCCCATAATTTCCCACAACTGTGAAAATTTAAATTAATAAAAATTGGGGGGAAAAAATGCTTAAAACCCATAATTTCACGCAATGGTGAACATTTCAATTGATAAAAATAAAAAATGCTTAAAAATAAACATTGATATTATCTGTCAAATATAAACAAAAATTGAATTCTGCAAAGCCTATTTGTAATGCATTTCTCTAGCTGCCTGATCAGAAAGACTTGTTCGTTCTAAGGTTTCAGATTTTTGTTGCTTTAACACAGTTTGCAATTATGTAAAAGCAGCAAAAAGTGTTTGCTTTCTAATATTAAACTTTCCCAAATATGTTCTTAATTATTGTGCAATCACTGTGTCAGGCTCTGTCTTTTGTACCTGAAACCATATTTACTGCTCATTAGATTGTAGTTTTAAACTTAGTCTTTAAATAGCCAAAATCATCTCTTCATATATTTTGCTTCATTATGATCTTTTTAATGTATCTGCATATAACTGCCTCTTTTTTGTGCTTCAGGGAATCCTTGAGAATAAGGTATTTTAATTTCTATCGGATTTTTCCTGGGGAACATTTAAAATAGTAAATTGCCAGTAGAATATAGACTTAATTCAAGAATGAGTTACATCATCTTCCTTTGTTTTTGTGATAATTATAATGAAAATTCATAGTCTCTTCACTGTACATGAATATTGAGTAGTTCACTTTACATCTGTGAGCCACCTCATCTTTTGACTATTTCTCTTCCTCCATTACCCAAAATATACATTTATTCCAGAAGGTTATAGGAAAAGCATTCTGGAAGAAGCCACATCTAGAGTATGAAAATTAATAGCATGCATATAGGCCTGTTCCTATATTTTACCTGAACAAAAATCTGTTACTACAATCATAATTACAAAAAATGCAAATCTGGTCAGATTTATTGAGATTGCAGTCTTTATGACAGCGTAGTACAACTTTACTCCAAAAAGTATCCACGATGCTTTGAATTTGCTGTGCCATTGCTGTATATTGATGACTATAGTTTAAAGTTACAAAGCTGTGTATAGACTCTTTACAGTATGTTACGGTCTCTGGTCAAATGGTATTTTCATGTGCCACATGCAGTGCATTCTAGAAATGTACAGTCAGTCCAATAACACTTAGGTACTAATATCTTCTTCCTACTCAGCATCTCCAAGATCCATCCTCACAGACAAATTTCTGTTGGGACCTCTTAATGTCCTGCCTATTTTACTGCAGTAGCTTCTTTTCTGGCCTTCCAAACATATACCTTGCTTCCCTTTAGTCAATACACATTGCAGCCATTAAAGTCAGCTTCCTTGTCTCACAATAGGAACTTGTCAATGTCCTCTTCAATTACCTTCCCTGGCTCCCCATCTCATATACCATTAAATTTAAGCTTCTTGCCTCCTTCAAAGCTCCATGTTCTTCTTTCCATCTCTATATATCCTTATTAAGTTTCATGACATCCCTCTACCTTCCCTCTGCATTCTAATAGTGTCCACACCCTTGGCCACCAGTTAGTCATAGTCTTTCACAGTTTTGCTTTCTTCTTCATGGTCCCTGCATGCAAGGCCTGTTCACATTTATGGCCCTCTTAAGACACCCACTTCTGCCATGCTACCTTCAGTGAATTTCATATATTTATATTTTTAAAAATTCCCTATTTGTTGTTTCCCTTCCCCTAACCTATGTCTGCTTGCCTGTCCTTACACTGTGAGCTCCTTGGAGCAGGGACCATTCTTTCTTGAATGTTTGGGATGCACATAGGACATTGTGAGTGTTACTGTAAACAAATATTTAATAATAGTATGCTAGCATACATCTCAGCTGTTACAGGAACTGTGACATGTATTTTAAGTCCAAAATGTGATTTACATTAAAACTATTTTTGTAAATAGTACATGCTTTATTTAGTTTTAAGCTCTTTGTTGCAGGAAATGTCTTACTGTGCATTTGTATTCTATCTAGCACAGTGGGGTCCCAATCTCTGTTGGGGCATATAAGTGTTACTGTAATACAAATTACTAATAGTAATCTGCCAGTCCATTGCCTCTTTATTTAAACATTCTTTTAAATTTTAACACATGAGATAGCAAAAACAATTAGATAATGGCCTTTTAATGAACTGATACATTTACACATATACCTTGTAAGAGTGAACTGAAATACATATAAATAAAACTTTGATGAGCCTTAACAACACCTGGTAAATATAAGTCTTGCTGCTTCTAAGCTGGGGGCACCTGGTTTTACTTAACATGCATTTAATAAACCAATGCCTTGTAAGTCTACAAACTATGCATAATTTATATCCACGTCAAAAGAGATTTTAAAGTTAGGGGTTTTGGGGGGGGGTGTCTCTTTTTCTGTTCAAAGTCTCTGTATGGAGAATTTCATTTCTCTAAGGCTAATTGTTGAAGGATATCCTCAGACATATCTGTTAATGCCCATTTAGCTTATGTTGTTGGTTTTTATTTTAATTCTCCTGTGAATTTTTCTCACCATAAATATTTAACTGAGTTATTTTACTTTGTCTTTGTATGTGGGCTATCCCCAAAACATAAAATGTTAGTGATGTCCATTGGGCAACAATCCTAATTAAAATAATTATTCTACCTACAGTATTTTTTTAAATATCTTAGTTTTACATTCACTAGTATAAGGAACTAGTAGTCTCTTTACCAGGGAATTATAGCTAATGTTTTGTTCCCTTTCTCAACTACAGTAGTATACACTAATGATTGGGCAAGCCATTTTGGGTTACTGAATATTACAAAAGAAAATGAATGAACAAACAAAAAATATATTATATCATTCATTTATGTTGATAATTGCTATTCTAACTGAATGTCTGTTAATGTATTTTATAAAAATAACAGTCTTTGTTATGAGACCTCATTATGGCACTAATAGCAAGATTAGTACAATTGTCAAGATTAACTTGGGTATATTTTCTGCTATAGTATGAGTTACTATAATCTGCTAAGAAAGAGATCTCTGGGCACTAGAATAAACTTCAATTTCAGCCTTAAGACCCCTATTGCAATTCATAATAATTTAAAACTGTGCTGAAATTAATAATTGTTCACATTGATGTTTTATGTCCTGCCCTATCAGCCAGGAAGTGTGGGGACCTGATGGAAGCTGTAGCAAAAATAGCTGCCTGAGAACTGACTGTATGCCTGCACTGCAGATGGAAGTGTAATTCCCAGCTTGGGAAGACACCCTGGCTAGCTTTCATCAAGCTAAAAATAGCAGTGCAGCCACAGCAGCGTGAGCAGTGGCTCGGGCTAGCCGCCAGAGTACATAGCTAGGATCTTGGATGGGATTGTACTCAGGCAGCTGGCCCAAGCAGTTGGCCTATGCCATTGCATCTATGCCACTGGTTGTAGAACACTAGCACAAGAAAAGCTGGCATATGTACATCCACCCAAGCTGGAAATTACAGCTCTAATTGCAGAATAGATCTGTTCCTAAAGGCCTGGGCAGCAAGAAGTATGATGAGTATAGCAACCTGGCTCATGCCTTGTGTACACTAGAAGGGGTTTACTGGTATAATTTCAGTGTCAATGGGACTCTATGGGTGCAAGGGCCTACTTGCACAATTCCAAATGCAGTATTGGGATTTATAGTACCACCAAGAAAAGCATTCGTATATATGGAATAACTCTTTCATTTCAGGGACAGGGAGAACCGAAAGTGAAAAGAACAGCTGGAGCCAAACTTGTTTGAGTTCATTTTTACAGCTGAAAGTTAAATCCCTGAAAACAGAGATGATGCAAACACCAGTACTGTTCTGATACTTGTTATTGTTCAATTTAAGATTTGTAGCTCATCCTGCGTGTTTAAACATGTTATCTTCTGGCATCTTACAGGGGCAGCATTCTTGGCTATTACAACAATCTATGCAGAGAGTGGGTCTGGCTTTGTGTCACCAAGTGCCTCTGCCAAAGCTGGGGTAGATGCAATGTGCAAGTGAGTAGTTGAGCATACCAATGCTTTATCTTCACATTTCCCAGACTGGGCTGATTGATTCTTTATCCACATCCTGTCAGTCTGGCAAAATGAAGCTAGTTGACTGGATCATGAATGAACTCCTTAGCTTCCATTTTACATAACAAGAAAGCAGTTGCTACTATCACAGCTTGTCATGGAAAGAATTATTTCAGTTTTATTACTTTTGCCATCTTACTAGGGTAGAAGTTTACTCAATTCATGGAATTCTGCTGCTTAGATTTTTATCAGGACTATCTGCAATAATTCCTTTAATAGCATTACACAGATATCCACATTCATTCCCCAAACAAAGACATCTGTGATTAGCAGCTATAGGGGAATAGATGATACTAACAGACAGTTCAGCCTCTACACTTCAGTAGAGATAATCAAATGGAAATGTTTGAAAATATAAGTAGGTCAGGTGTGATTATTTCTCCAGAAAAACAGAAAGCAAATAGGGATACTTCTGCTTTGTTCTGTGTACACTTTTTTCATACAAGTTGAGTGTGTATTACTTAAGTGTGTATTTCAAAGACTAGCCACCTTATTCATTTACCACACCAGATGTTTTAGCACCTTTAAAGAAAGAGCATATGCAAAGATAATATTGTTCATAAAAGGAAAACTGCACTGCTTACTCTGCTTTGTAAAATATTTTAGAAGTTGAGGTTTGGTTATCTTATTTTTCCTAAAATACTTGGTTTGAGAATTATATTGAAGATCTGCCACAAGTGTATACCGGTGGGATTTTCTAAAATGCCTAAGGGAGATAGGTACCTAACTCCCAATGATTGTCATGAATGTATGCTTTATACGCAATATATACTTCAAATTGGTGTTACTGTATTTGTCAGTTGGCTTATTCATATAACATCAGATCCATGTGTGAGAAGATTAAAATTCAATAACAATAACAAAAAAAAGGAAAATATTTCAAAAAAATCTACGAGTACATAGGTCAGGATTCAGATGTTAAAGTGTTTATAAATTCGACATATATATTTCCCAGTTTTGATTCTAAATTATGTCCTGAATAACATTAGGCAACATGCTGTTTGAAATATTTATGCATTCTATTAATGAATTTTTAGGTCTCTTGCAGCTGAATGGGGTAGATATGGCATGAGATTCAATGTGATCCAACCAGGTCCAATAAGAACAAAGGTACATTTCTGTCATTAAAAAGTGAGACATGGCCTTACATGTGCTTAGGCCTGGTAGAAATTGATTTTTATTTTTGTAATAATTTTGATGGAAAATATTAATGTTTATTTTAAAACATTTTATATATTTTTATTGATTAATATTTTCACAGTTGCACAAAATTGTTTTTTTAGCTTTTCTTATTTTTTTCTCTTAAATTTTCACAATTGTGGGAACTTATGGCAGTCATACAATAATTATTTAATTACATTAGATGTTGAGATTTAAAAAGTTAAAGCTTTATAACTGTTAACACAAGTTGTCACCGTATCAAAATATACAAAATAAATAGTCTTAAATCAAACTCCAGAGAGTTCTCAAGCAGCATTTCTTTTACTTTGCCTATCTGTAAATTTTGATAATTGATGGAAATATATTTTATTCGGTTTGTGTGTGTACAGTGAAATTGATGTTGTCATGGAGCGCTTCACTCATCGCTGGTCTAGCACCTCATCCTGGTCACTCTGGGGATTAACTCTCAAGGCTAGTGCTCCTGTCCACAGTTTGCATGCCATCACTCTGACTCTGGTCTGCAGCTCCTCTCATTCTAGGACCCGCAGCATCTTCTTTGTGACTTACCCCTCCAGCTAGGTCATTCAGTGTTCCCCCTTCCGGGGTTCAGACCACCAACAGTCCTAGACAGTCTTCTCATTCACTGCCCTGGTGCCACTCCCTCAGTAGCTGGTAGGGGAACTTTTCCCAGGGAGTGACTACCCTTTCTCAGCAGCTGTCCCCATCTCTTGCCAGCTTCCTGGCCTTATAGGGCCCATGTGTTCCTACACAGGTGAGCCTATTCCTAATCAGCTGCCTGCAGCCAAAAGCTCCCCTGTTTGAAGCGTAATTAGCTGATTGGGCCTACCTGGCTCAATTCCACTCTTGCAGAGCTAGTGTGGGGGTCTCACCCCATCACAGACATATATCGACATTTACCAATAAAAATCTAATAATTCCAAGTCTATATATGCTATGCCATGCAAACTTGCTTTAAGATAGCGTAACCCTTACTATAACCCTTTCAGTATAGATAAGACCAAACTTGGTTTCTCCAGTGATCCAACGGTGTTGTGCAACGTTGAGCAAGTCGCTTATACTCTCAATGGTTTATTTTCCCCATCTGCGAAATCGAGAGTAATTGTAAAATGCTTTAGGATAGTATTTTCCCAAACTTTTAAAAGTTGAGACTCCCTTCTTCCAATAAAGGAAAATGGAACTTCATGCCTCCCTTCAACTCCTCTGAGGGTTGTTTTAGAATTTAAGTTAAATGAAATTAAATTGTATTTTTAAACAGGTCTTTCAGTTTTTATTTTAAGAAATGACATATCTGTTTGAGGAAAGCAATGCTTTACATTAAATTCTGTGGCATTTGTTTGTCTGTAATGCTTTTGAATGCCACATCCAATCAATTTCAAAATTTCAAGGAATGTTGTAGGCATCAGTGGGTAGAACCCTATTGATTTTGGTGAAAATAGGAGAACTGAAAGGAGGAAACTGGAGGACACTCGGGCCTCTGGCATCTGGTTAGCAGACCCAGCAGCTTCAACCTCCTCTGCAATTGTGTATATATCAAAGAACTGGTTGATGATAACCCTTAATGCCTTCCAGTATAATAATACCCTCCATCTCAGCTCTGCTGATCCTCCCAGGACAGTTTAAAAATGTTGACATCATGAATGACTTATGTCCCAGACAGAAAGAAAAGAAATGAGTGGTGTGGAAAATGGGGAGGTTCACAGAAGTCCTGGTGGTTGGGTGGCAGGGAGGAGAACAGGGGGTCCCTGGTATGGAAAAGAAGGGAGAAAGGGAAAGCATGGGAGAGGGAGAGAATAGGGGAGGCATAGAGTCCCTGGCATGAGAGACAGTGGTATGGGCGAAGGGAGACCTGGGGAGCACACACAGCCCCTGGTATGAATGATGGAGTGGGAGATTTGCAGGGAGGTTGACAAACAGGGAGCTTGTAGGGGTAATGGAGCAATGCAAGGAGCCCCAGGTGGATACAGGGTGCTTGGCTTACAGATACAACAAAGTGTGCAACTCCCTAGTCAATACTGAATGCTTGATGATTGAATATTATTTTATTATTTAAAACTGAAATAAAACATTAATTTTCAAGTTTACAGTATCACTTCACAGCGATTTTTAGTTCTAGTTGCATGTGCTAAGTGGTGACATTAATTTTTTTCTCTAAAACACAGTTTCACACTCATTAACTATGTTAATCACAGTTCTTGGCCTTGGCTTCCTCTCAAGTGGGCTTAGATGCCCTATGCTTTCTTGACTTCACATATGTTTTCTTAGGTTTCTGATTTTGCTCAGTAAAGTTTATTCCTGTTAGTAAAAGAGTCCATTTGAGTGAGATTTTTCTCCCCAGGCTCGCCCATGTCTTGCACTGTCCCCAGATATTCAAATGCACTTTAAAGCCCAAAGCTATCTAGATTTATTCTGTTCATTGTTCCTATTCAACCAGATTAAAGGATACTTGCTTTTCAGTTTGGTTATTCTGTGCTATGTATGATTTTGGTTTATTTTTAAGTTTCCTCTACATTTCTATAGTACTGCCCTGAGGCAGTCCCATTTTTCTCAAACCTTTATCCTGCAAGTTTTCAGAAAAAGTGTACAAGACGCTTACTAGAGCCTCTCTTTACTGCTCTATAATTGTGTAGAAGGGTCACTGCTGAACACCATGAACTACTGTGTTAAATTCTGGTGTAACTGGTTGACTGAATTTACACCAGAATTTGACCTTTGTCTCCTGTTCTCTCTTAACCCACCCCACTAATAAGCATGTGATTGTCACAACACTCCTACTAACTGTTAGATTATGTATTAGGTCTGAAACCAGGAATCAAATCTTAGTTTGAATTTATTTACTAGTTACTCATAAAATTTTGCTGAATGTTTTTTGTTTTTTTTTTAATTCTATAGGGTGCTTTTAGCCGTCTTGACCCAACAGGTCAATTTGAGAAAGAAATGGTTGGGAAGCTTCCCTGTGGCCGTCTGTGCACAGTAGAAGAAATTGCAAATCTTGCCACATACCTCTGTAG